AAAAAAAAAAAAAAAAAAGAATTCATACTGTGTTGGTCAGTCCACCTGTTGGGTGAATAGGGTCAGCACCAACCTGACTGGAGTGTGAACGGGAGAAGGCAGCCATCACCTAAGATAATAGCAGCAAGGGTTTAGGGTTTGCATATGCAAGGGTAAAATTATGACTTTTATTTTTTAAAATATGTGGTAACAGGAGCATAGAGGGATTTAATTAACATAAACCTAGGGATAAAGATCTAATCAAACCAACATTCACAAGAGTGTATTATCTATCTTAAAGGTCAGTTAAAATAAGGACTAAGGATGATTTTTGTCTACTCTTCAGCAAGTGTGTGGCCAGTGATATCGCAGAGTGCTCTAGTTTAACAAATAGCTCCTCATACAGCACGTTCTGTGGTCTCTGTGCTAGTGTGTGGCCAGTGATATTACAGTGTTCTTGTATGAACAACTAGCTATTCACACAACATGATCTTTGAATGGCATGGAGGGCTCAGATGTAATTTATTACTGCTGTTAGTGTTGTTTAGTACACGGTCTTGGTGCTGGGGCTGAGTCTAGGGTCCCTCAAATGCTAAGAATGACCTCTGTTACTGAAGGCTCTACTCAACTCAACATCTAAGGCTTCGTGAGGGTGATCCTGGGGGAAAATATCATGCGTGGGATTAACCATTACAAACACCACCACAATGGCAACGTTTCTTTCTGACGTGATCAGTGAATGTGCCCATGGGCCTTTCTTGGCCTGATGCCTTCAAGCTGAGGTTAGAGAGGAGAAAGCAGGACACTCTCATTAGGAAAGTCATGAGGCTTGATGAGCTCTGAGTATCCTCTGTAACTCTCCCTAGGACCTCCATTTCTGGGCTTGCTTCCAGGTGCTTTTACTGACTTACCAGGTGACCTTTGGTTGGTAATTCCTTAGCTCATTGCCTCAGTTTCCCCATTTGAAAACAAGCCCTAGCCAGACTTGTTTTATTTTCTTGCTGAGAGATTGTGGTCTATTACTAGAAATAACCTTTTCTCCTTTCCTGAATGTGTTCTCATTACTGACTGACTGCACAAATGTAGTGATATTTTATTTGTATTTTAATAAATAAAATTTGCCTGAATATCACAGAGTAAAACAGTTACCCTGGTCAGCCTCACAGATCAGGCAGTGGCGGCACACACCTTTAATCCCAGTAGCCACACTAGTTTGCTGTAGAAGCCAGGCAGTAGTGGTGCACACCTTTAATCCTAGCACTATAAGATGGGAGGAGACTGTTGAAATAGGAGCGGCGGGGCTGCATCCCCAACACCCCGGCCGCTTGGCTAGCTCATGCCCGAAATAACAACACACAAACTGTATTCATTTAAACACCGCTTGGCCCATGAACTCTAGCCCTTACAGGCTAATTCTCGCACCTGGACTAGCCCATTTCTAATGATGTGTGTAAGCACCCCAAGGTGCGCTTACCGGGAAGATTCTAACCTATGTCCATGTTGGGTCGGAGCTTCATCGCGTGTGCCTCAGAGAGCAGAGCTATCGGGAGAGCGGAGCATGGCGTCT